CCCCAAAACCCCAAAACCCCAAAACCCCAAAATGATAATATAACTTCAAAAGAGTAATGAAATGAAAAATATCAAATTTATATATTTATAGCTCAAGACACATAAATAGTCTATTATGCTTTATGAGGAGAGTAGTTATCTTATCTTCTAGTCTTTTAGTTATCTTAATCATTATTATTATCAATGGAGATAATACTTATATTTTTATTACTATTCAAAGCTATTATTGCATTGCTGTTTGATGAATTTTAATGTTGATATATGCAATCAATAAAGTTATCCATAATCTAAGAAGTTTAGTTACTGCCACCTTCCCATTTCGTAGGTGTTACCCCTGCTGTATCTATATTATCCTGACTCTATCTAACTTTATCTCTAATCTGTATTTTTGAAGAGTTATATTAATGCTATGTATACCCACTCACTAAAATACTGTCAATACCAAATATTCTTACTTTTAACTTGTTGCTAGAGCCAAATTGGCTAGGGTTTGACTATGTTTGCATTTCCAAAATCAAGTATCTCTAGCATTTAAGGCTCTTCTATAGCTTATTCTTCTTGTATAGGCTATTCATCATCATTAAAAAGATCAACTAGCTTCATGTGATTAGATTTGTAAGTCAGCACTTGCTCTTATTGTTTTTATTATTTTGATTTTTTGCTTTTTAGCTTTATTTTTTTTCTAGACTCGTATTTATTAGTATTCTGCCTTGAGTTTTTCTCTGTTTCATTGTGTATTGTTGTTACTTTTCTATCTAAGTAAATTTGATTTTGACTAACACTAATAGATAAAAGAGGTCTATGTAGAGCTATTTTTGGAGGAGGGGATATTTACTTGCTGGACTCATTATTTAATTATCTCTACCTTAGCTTTGGAAGGCAGTAATTGCTCAAGCTCTACCTCTTTTCTTTCTTTTAAATGTCAAATCCTTTTATTTTAATTTGGGGAATCTTATATTTGATGTTAAGTTTATTTTAAGTCTCAAAAGATGTGAAAGCAGGGTCTTTACTGATATGCATGTCGTTTGTTTTCTAATTGAACTTCTATTTTTTAGCAAGTAATACATTTGATCTACTAGGAGTATGACTAAATACCGGATATTTCATTTCATTGAAATTAATTTCCGTAAAGCTTAAGAAATTCGGTGAGACTACTTATATCTATTATCTCTTTTTCATAACTCTAGGTTCAAACTATTGAATTGGAATCGATTCATAATTAACTGTCGAATAATTATCTTATTGCAATTTATAAGAGGGTAAACTAGCCTATGATATATGTGAGTTATATTTAATCTTCTTAGTCAAAGATAGTTAATTTGCATCTACAAATACTTGGATTGGTTTTATACGGCGCACACTATTTTGATTGGTCAGGACTTTTTTGTCTTTGCCTAATTCCTTATCGAATTGCTCAATAGAATCCATTATTTGCTATTCAATATTCTGCTATAGATTATTATCTGAGTTAACATTTAAGTTATGCTCCGATCTCCTCTTTAGATTTTGTGATATTTTGGTACTCTTTGATTGGAATTTGAGCTGATTCTAAAATAGGTTTTACTATTGATGGCTATTTTAAGGCAAAACAGAGAACTTTTCTTGATACTATCTTATTTTCTTTTGAAGAGCAAGTTCCTATTTGTTCTCAACTAGAAATAGGGGATATTAAGATATTGACTAGTAGTGTGGAGGTTAAGGCTTTGAATATTAGCTCTTTAACATTTTAGATAATTTAAAATAAATAATTTATTCTCACTTAAGATTGTAATTTGATTTCATGGGGTTTTGGGGTTTTGGGG